TGGGCTTGTTTGGATTGGTAGCTATGGGGGGGGGGGGAACACGCAGATCTGCCCTCACCGAGGAGGGAGAGCTTGTACCTGAATAAACCTTGGCCTTAAAGGTGCCACGACTCTTTTGGATTGCTATCGGGGGGGGGGCTCTGCAACTTACCGGGCTGCTTTTTGCTCCTTGTGGCCCAGGGCTGCTGGGAGCAGGGGGCGGAGCTTGTTGCATGTGCCTGCCCCCTGGGCTCTTTACTGCCGGAGCTCCACTCCTGTGCGCTCCTGCAGGAAATGATCCCTGAGTTAACATATATAAAGCAAAAGTGAAACGCAGCTTTATTACACTGGTGGTGAAATGCTGCTGTCATTACAGACCTTGAATGTCATCCCAGTTTACTTGTACGATAGGGTTGCCAAGCCTGGTCTGGAAACCAGAGGGAGACTGGGGGGACACATGGGGGTAACAGTGTGACAACAGAAAATCCCGAAGTGATATTATGCCTCTCTAGAAACTGCAGTAAAACTATAAAGCTCTATGGCAAGGTCTATGGTAAAACCATAGAATTTTCAGTGATTCCTAGAAAGGACTGACCTAAGTTTGGGGAAAACCACAAGGTAGGTACCGCCAACCCTAAAGTACACTAATAATCACTACAATTAATAGCAATATATGTAATCTAGGTTCCTGTTTTAAGAGTAAATTAATCATTGCAAATTTACTTTTTTAAAAAATATACTAGCTTAATTAAGATCAATGCTCCCTCTAAGCTGTGCAGTGTTGTGAGCAAAAATCTTACTTTGTGAGCTACTGGCATTAAAGTTGTGAGTGAGTGATTTGGCTACTGCATACAGTTTGCTCTGGAGCCATCCTTCCTGAGCGAACACAAAAAATGTGTGAGCTGGAGCCTAAAAAACTGTGAGCTAGCTCACACGAACTCAGCTTAGAGGGAACACTGATTAAGATCTGTTTGATCCTGACAGTAAGGTTCTTTTTACAAGCATGGAAATGCTAAGAAATATAGTCTTTGGCCTTCTGCCTAGAACCTTTGTTTACAAACTTTACTGTTTCCTGGAAGCTAAAATTTAAAGTTCCTGCAAAATTTCTGCAATAGCACAAACCATGTTTTGCCATGGATGTTCAAACTATACTTACCACTTTCCCCTCCCAAGCCAAGACTGGAAAGCCACTTCAAACCATGTTTTTCTGTTTTCAGGCATGATGGCAAACTATGGTTAGCACTGAAGTGCAGGTTGAAAGCGAAATCTTGCATAAAAGTGGAAGAGGGAGTTCACAAGCCCCATTACTTGTTTCCAGTCCTATAAATTCATAGTTTCTTTCCCCCCATTTCTGTAATGTTCTGTGTAATAATAAGAAAAGTATATTCTTTCTTTCCTTTGTGTCTGAGGAAGTGAGCTCTGACTCATTAAAGCTCATACTAGAATAAATGTTGTTATACTTTAAGGTGCCACTGAACTTCTGGTTTGTTTAGCTGCAACAGACTAACATGGCTACCTCACTGGAATTGTCTGAACAGAGCCTTATTGTAGCACACTAAAGCCTGGCATGTTAGGTAAAAAAAATTGCTGATGTATTACAAAGATTATGAAATATTTCAGTACTATTAAAGATGTTGTAAGAAGGGCTAACTTAAACATTATATGAGGATTTGACTATTGGGTGAAATGTGTGAAAGTATAATTAGGGGGAAATATGTAAATCTTTTTTTTCTCTGCTTGCGATTTCCTTATAGAACAGACTCTTTTTGGTTCAACTAAATGCAGTATTGGTTTTCTTGGTTTTTTCAACTAAATGCAGTAGGTCACTCCCAGAGCTGACATGCATATTTAAGATACTAAAACTTAACCACTGTCAGACTCTTGAACAAACTTGCTCTCAGAAACACTCTCTTTGCAGTGTTTTGTTTATTGAGAGATAAGAATGTAACAAGCTAAAAGCATCTAGTGTCAGAACTAACTCCGTTGGCACCATTTCTGGAATTATACACGATTCAAACAAGCCCCCCCCCCCCGTGGCTTTTCTAATCAATCCATCCACTCAGCCCACCTAAACCTCCATTAGCCCTTCTCCCCCACCCGCAAACCTACAGTTACATTATCTATGACAGGCTGGCTAGCAGAGACAGGCATTCAAGGTCGTTTCACGTACTTCCCATTCGGGAGGTCTCTTAAGAAAACAGTTACGAAGCAGTTAAACAAAGCAGTTTCCCCCACACACATACTCTCACCATCTCCCCCCCCCCCCCGCCCCCAAACAGCCACCAAATTCACAATCCAACTGATGTGGTTTACAGGCCATGAAGATGGAATCATACAAAACCCATGGCAAACAAAGTTCTGAATTTGACAACTACATCATTCCATGGCAATACAATATTTTTTATTATTGTTTTGTCAAATAATCATTCTTCTATTGTAAGGCTTTTGACGTCCACACCTACTTATTTGTTTCTAACTCTTGGTGTGTGTGTATAATATATGTATATTACAACAAATATATGCTTTTTATTTAGTCCCCACACCGTGCTACAAAAATACTATTTTTTTGGCTTTTTGCAGGAATTTTATAGCAAAATAGTAGAAAATTAACTTTGAGCTTTGAAGAATACTCTTTTCCAAGATGACAATTTTAAGCTAAGACTGTGAAAAATGTGATGGTATGTAGAGTAGCAATGTCCTGTTAGCATTTATAACCAAATTGTATATATTTGCTTGTAAATTAAATCTGCATGCTTAAATTTACTAGATGGTAGAGCATTTGTTTTCTCTTTTGAAAATTCCTATTTGACATTTAGTATGAGGTGTCTCTCTGACAGGTTTCATTATGACCTATTGATGCCTTAATTTTACCTGGGGCTGTCAAATTATGAACTTTTATCTAATTTAATTGCTTTGCTTAAGCATCCTAGTATTTTAATATAAATGATATTTTTAAGGATTTACCTTTTTATAAATTTGAAAGTAGTCTTGCACCCTCTTCTCAGAGTCATAAAAAGCGGAAGGATAGTTTACAATAATGCCATCACCTCTTAGAGACCCATTCAAAGACCAGGTCTGACTATAATTAGATTTTAAAACAAACCCTGCTCCTTAATGAGTGCTTAATGAATTCATCAATTAATTTACTGGTGAATTGGAGGAATATTTTTAATTCTGATTTACCCCAGAGATACCTAATGTCATCTATAGCAAGTTCTGGCCCCGTTACGCTTCGTGGGTATTTCTTACCCATCCCTTTTGTGAGGGTAATTTATGA